AGGTGTCCTTCGTTCGCCATTAACAGAATGGAAAGATATCTAATCGCTTTATCTTGCCGAAATATAGACAGTTACCCTGGTGCGAGGCAACAGGTTACTACAATCCCGGCCAAAATGGTTGGGACACTTCCTGAGCCTGCCACGGTCACCCACTCCCCCGCTTCCCCGGTCAATGTTGTTCTCTCCAGCTGATGGAGCACACACCGCGCAATGAGAGACAACATTGAACGGGGGCCGGGGGGTGGGAGGCCCAGCGAGATTTGGCCAGGATTGTAGATTATTACTTGCAAAATTGTCAAAAATTACCGCTGGTAATCCAACGATCCAAACATGACACAGCATACCGCCTCTTGGGGTTGGTCTGTATTTTCGTCAATATGTTGGACCGAGACAAGTGATTGGAGTGTGCTGAGGCACAAAATGCAAGGGCTAATGGAGAGGCTTGGTTATAATTATAATATCAACGGTTCCTCTGATTATGCAGTCATCCAGTGCATGCAGGTCCTTAAATGGTATACATGCTCCGATTTCACTGACCTCTGAATTCACAGTTCTGATGTAAAAAAAAAGAGACTTCATTGTTTTGTTTGACTCGTTTGGCAAATTTGTTTCTTTCAGACTTTGAATATTTAATATATTGTAGATACAACATTATCTCTTTGAAAACACTCCAAAACGTATCGCTATTACGCAAAACATAACGGTAATGATACAAAATGTGGCAAAATTGCTTTACCAAGGTTTACTACGCCAACTTAGTGTCAACTTGCAAATTAGGGTCAAAGTAAAAATAAGAACATGTAAATGACTCGACCCAGCTAGCGGGTGCCGCGCGAAGCGCGGCATCCCGCTTGTAACCACAAATAAACACAATGTGGAGTCAGCAACAGTTTTGTGCGCTTGTCGGATTTTATATAATGCTTCGAATGTATAGTGAATAATGCAAAACATACCAGGCTTACGATTGCCTTCATGATAATACCACGTGTATAATAGACACAAGACACTGTACAGCGATATAACTTTCTAGTAGAAAAGAGGCAATTTACTGGACAATGTGGTTTTTTTTGTATCAAAAGACAACAGTAGTTTCGTACACTTCACCGTCCCTATGACGACACATCCACTGATTCAACATTAATTGAAAATACGAAATAAGTCACATGCATTCTTAAATTGACTAGATTCGTTCGACGCACTGTTTGTGAAAATTTCCGTACATGGCCTACATTATTACTCTAAAACTGGCATTGTGGCGATAGTTTTGACGTCATGCGACAATAATCTCCCTGGTTCAAAGTCTACCGAGCTAGTTTGAAGAATATATAAAGGCATTTTACCAACCCTGGGTTCTTCAGGCCTTAATATAAGCTTTCGCCTGAGAGTTCTGGAGTGTTTAATGTCCCTTGTTTCCGTTATTTCCACTACATTACCATTACCGACAGTTCTTACCTACCACATTACCATTACCGACAGTTCTTACCTACCTCATTGTCATTACCGATAGTTCTAACGTACCTCATTACCATTACCGATAGTTCTTACCACCAGTTCTTACCTACCTCATTACCATTACCGATAGTTCTTACGTACCTCATTACCATTACCGATAGTTCTTACCACCAGTTCTTACCTACCTCATTGCCATTACCGATAGTTCTTACGTACCTCATTACCATTACCGATAGTTCTTACCACCAGTTCTTACCTACCTCATTACCATTACCGATAGTTCTTACCAGGTAAGAACTATCGATAATGAGGTACTACCTCATTATGGCTACTTCATTATGAGCAGAGCTGTAATTGAGTCAATCACAAGTCATTAGCAAGTCACATGTCATGTCAAACCACAAGATAGTCTTTCACAACAGAGGATGAACGATGACAAAGAAACACCTTTGTTAGAAGTCATTTAAATAGCTTGTGACTTGTGGTTGACTTGTGACGACTTGTGTTGACTGACTCGATCACGACACTGGCGACGAAAAATGCGTCAGTCCTCTGATTTGTTTTTTTTAATTCTGTCAGAAACGCCCATGACCAATCATTAATTTGGGGGTCCAACAAGATCACCGGGACCCGATTGCATTCACCGGCCTGACGCTCGCATCCAGGGGGAACACAAATGGAACAAAACCCAGTATTTCCGGAAACAAAAATGTCACATTTTTTTGTTCCATTGGGAGACGGCTTCCGAATCTGATTAAACCGGACGCCGGTCCCGGCCGTCTGGGAGATTACGAAGCAACAATCGTGACTTATTAACCATCATGGGAAAGCCCTGACGGATGGTGGCAACTCAATATTCTGACGAAACCAAGGGCGCGTATTATTTAAGATGTCACACTGTATGCGTGCTGCTTCATCTAGTCATGCTGATTAAAGGAGATATACACTTTAGAAATACTATTCACAAACCATGTACACCGGCACTAGAGTTATACAGGATAAAAGATCACTACTAAGCTACTATTTACACAATGTACAAAATAGTAATTATAATAACTGATATTATTTATTCGGCTGTGAAAAGGAATATTTTTTATTGTATAGGTATAGGTATATATTATATCAAGTAAAACACCTTCAAATGTCGTTGATATTTAAATTAATTTAAATTGTAAAGTGGAGCCACACTTAAATGTGATTATTTTACAAATATATGTTTGTATTTCCCATGAAGGGACGACTTTTAAGCAGATTATTCAAATATCGAGAAAAAAATCAAGAGCATCATGCCACAATATACCAATACACCTAAATACCAAGTTGATAAGCTAGTTTATATCTGTCTCGTTAATGTTTTCGAAACTTACGCCCTTTGTTTAACTCAAGATGAGACGGGTCATCTTCCACATTCCAACAACTTATCCTAATAGCCATTGGTTACAAAAACGTACAAAAATACAAAATGTAGGACACTAAACCTCGACGCTTCTGTCGTTACATTATTTAAATAAACATGACAGAAGAAAGGAAAGTTGATGAACTACTTCGAGCTAATAAACCGATATGTGGTTTACAAATAAAAAGGTACATGATAAAAGCAGTTGCGCGTGCAGGACAGTGGAGGACCCCCGGGCGGATGTCAGGGACGCCCGGATCCCCCGGACACCCCACTTAAAATCTTGAATTGAAAAAAACATATTCATCATAAATAATGTTGCCGTTAGTGCCCCCCCCCCCCCCCCCACTGAAAAATGTGTTTTGGTGCCCCCATATGTGTTTAGTTCAAAATTCTAAAGTTTGAAAAAGTTTATAATTTTTGGATTGCTTCACACTGTTATGATAACTTCGGCACTACTCGTCAAGGCAATCTCATCCATTTACAAAAACACTTAGAGACTCGACATTGCTTTTGCTAATCATAGACATGTTTTGCCTACCATCGTTAATTCTTTCCCACTTTTTTATAAGAAACGACCCAGTGAACTTGCCAAAAAAGGTGTACATGAAGCATTTAAAAGAATTTTTTTTAGATAAGTACAGGAATTTTCTCTGTGCCAATCTCCGCTTTGCCTGTCCATAAGGAGAAAGGCAGTATTTGTTATCAGTTACTTTGATGCCAGGATTTTTCCAAGTAAGCTAGCCGTCGCAAAATGCAAGGGGAGGGGGACACCATCTGACTATTGCAGGCGCTGTTTTTACCAAATACTTATTCTTATTCTCACAAATGTACCTTTAGGGAGACACGTTATCGTATTTTCTTCCACAATAGGGAGACACTGGTCATTGGGAGACATTTTCATGTTTCCCTAATTCCACAGCCCCCCCCCCCCCCTTTAGAGGCAAAATGTTATTGTCGCAATCAGGTGATATTTGTTGCTGGTGGTCTATTTAGTAAACATACCGAAATTCGTGGGAAAAAGACAAGGGAATATTGGGTAAGGCCACATTTAAGTTTGAACAATTTTGTGCACAAGTCTATGGGGATGTCTCCCAAATGTCAAATCCAGGGTAATTATTATTATCATTTATTCGGCCAAGATTTCATACAAGCAAAAAACATTACAGAGAATATGACAATGAAACTTTACAGAACAAAACTAGTGGAACAGGTAAAAAAGAAACACGAACCAGACAAACCCACATTAAGATGGCCAGGATTAATAAAGTGTACTTAAACACTGTGACTCGGAAGCCTACTAATCCAATCTTAAAATGGGACACTAAAATCAATCTAAAAATATGATTAGAACAAAAACTAAAAACATTAGTAAATGAGATCACTCTTCCATTACAGAGACAAATAATGTAAATTTAATAGTGTTTTTTTTTAGTGTTGGCGCATTTCCAGCATTTCTTCGATTTTTATGAACAAATTGAAAATATTTGTCTGCCGCAAAATTCAATTAAATCTGTTCTGAACCTCCACCAACCCCCCGAAATAATAACGAACACACAAAGACAAACGAATTATGTGAATGTGATTTGTGAGATTACTTGATTATTGTACACACAACATTACATTTAGGATATACACTATAAATGTTTAATATTTTTTGGCCACGTGCGAAGTAGAATATAATATGTAACTGTTCTCTCTTTTACTTTATTAACCGGAACTTCAGTCAGCCATTAACTACTATATTAGTAGCCGATTGCCGCGTCCGGAAATTACACCTAATCGCTGGTATCCTAGAGACGGGTTACCAGGAGCGCATTTCATAGCAGGAAGTTATGAGGTCCACGTGGTTGTGTGTGCATTGCAGTCGTTAGTGCGGGAAGAGTTAATATTGGTGTGTACAGAAGACTATACCGTTTGGAACGGGCGGAAACGAGATTGAGATAAAACCTATATAGAAATAGAGATTGCCGACTGTCAAAAGATATTCATTAGGAACATAGCATCATTTGCATTTAGGGGCCATTCAAAGTTGTCGATGTCTTTAAATTTTGATTTTTTCGTTTCTGTTTTTAAGGGCGGATCCAGGCATTTTCGCGGGGGGGGGGGGGTATCACCGGCAAACAAAGTCTCTGAAATGTAGACACGGTTTTTTTTCTCCAGATACTTGGCCTTTGTAAAATCGAAAAGCGGGAGACGGGGGGAGGGAGGGAGGGAGGGGGGCTATTCTTTCAATGGGGGCGCTGTTCAAATCGAAGTTTATAACACTATATCACTGAATAATACCCCATAACCAAACTGTTTAAACATTACAAAAAAAGTGTCACTGTATTGAGAGAAGTCTGCTTTGTTCACTTTGCGCATGCGCTCAACATTCTCTCGGGTCTGACATCATGTCAAATCAGGTCATATCAGCCCCCTCCCCCACTGTTTCCTGAAAGCTAGATCCGCCCCTGAACAGCATCGGTAGGCCAACGTTGGCATCAAAACTATACAGTGTGTCAAGTTGTAAAACTGGTTGAGTGGTCTGTATATCACCGAGTAGTTTTACTTTAAGTAGTCTATATACAAACAGAAGTAGGGCTTGTCGTGGAGAAATCCAGACACATAAATCTTGCACAAGCCCAGTTTACAATTTGTCGTACTGAACGACCATTATTAACCGGGAAAGAGGCGGCGTTATTCGCGATGGTGGCCACAACAAAATGTGAAGTCAAATAGGTATGATGTCATTTGTGACCGTCCGTGGAACAGTTAAGGCGGTAAGCATTTCGAGAATTTCCAGGTATCTATTAGAGTAGACGGTTCGAGACAAGGTAGATCGACGGTTTGGGAGTTGAACCCGCACACGACAGCCGAGACTGAAAAAAACGGTAAATTATATTCTGGATGTCGGACATTGATGTTGTCGTGCAAAATAAAAATAAAACATATTACATTTTACGCTCAAAAATATCTACACACCAACGTATCTCAAATGCGTGGCAAATTTAAAATGAACTTAAATATAGGCCTAGTGTGTGCATTAGTATGGTTCACGATACAGTGAATTTTCGCCGGATGCACTTTACTCCTTGAGCCGAAACAAATGTGAGAAGTGACCGACGTTTTATCTCCAAATGGAAGGAAAAGCAATATAGTAAAGTACTTTAAAGCTTAAACTTACATTACACAATGGTGAATAAAATCTATCATACACTCTGTTAATGCTGCACATAGGTATTTACAATATGAACATTGTGTTGACTCCAGATATTGATATACGCACGTATTGTGCAGTAATAGTGTTAATGATAAACTATCGAAAGCAACTGAATCGGTAATTACACACAAAGAAAAGTGGTGTCCGAACAAATCATGGCATGCAGAAAATGATCACCACACGGAAAATATGTCCATTCTGCGCGTCAGAGTAGTTAATCAATCAATTAATTAAATAAGGGGAACAAGTGTAGCACGGAAAATGTTGAACCCCATTGCAATGAGTATAACCACTCTACCCATGACTGCGCGCAAATGCGAAATAGAATACTGGCGCATGCGCTTTCGGCACGAGGTTCGTCTGTCAAAGAAGATGCTGTGGTAACGAAATAGCGCCCTCACATCTTCTTCTAATACTCCCTCCTAGATAGAAACGAAATCTGACACAAGACACAAAGTGTCACAGTTTGAAACTCAGGTGGGAAATCAGCCTGCCGTTGAGGGCGCTACAGTAGAAAGTGGTCCCATTATACTTTGTTTTCAGTCAGAGTGACTGCCGTCGTTCTCTTTATCAGAAGACGCTGCATTTGTTGACTGGGTTCATCGGCGACCCTACCTTGCACTGGAATGCTTCGGAAAACTCGGGCGAGTTCATGACGGGGCCCAACGCCCTGTATCAACAATGTAAACAATTATATTGAAAGTGTTGCTTGACTGACAACAGAGGGCAGCATTCTCGGATAAATAGATGCTGGTTCGATCAAGGTTTATTGGTCTACCATTTAGTTAACGGAAGGCTGGTACAGACCTATGTTGCGCCAGCACTCAGGTCGGACAATGGTCAAACGTCATCACGAAACTTCTCGCTCCTGATCCCTGCTTTATTTGTGATGCGTACGGATATTGGTTACCAGTGACGGGGCAAACCTTAGTAGGCTGGTACCAAATAGTCTACAACACGTACGTGTCTAACCATTGTCAACTAGAGTGCGTGCGCTGGAATATAGTCCACCCATGTTGTTGATCTAAATTGCTCTTGGGTAACAATGAATGGTGTAGCTGCAGTTCCATTCTTGAAAAGGATTGACTAAGCTTAGGCGCGTAAGTTTAAACTTTTTGATCTCTTAAACGAGCCAAAAAGACTAACATTAACAACCCCCTGGATCCTAAAGACGAGGCTCAAAGCACTAGGTAAAATGAAGCATTTGGCAAAGGGAACTTTTTTTTTTTTTTTTTTTGGTGTTCCTTTGACTGATTGAAGTATTAGAGGGAATCAGCAAATCAAAGATGACACAGGGAAAGATGCAAGGGTTTAATTTCGACGATTTACCTGAATCTGCCTGGCGAATGATTATTTTGCTGTAAATGGTAAATGATGGCTTGGTCCCGGCTCTTGGAGCACCATAACTAGATTCGGAATGAATAAAAATACATACAACTCTACACAAAATATCAAATAACATTTTGGTTCTCGCTGTTGCGAGAGGTGAAATCCATCTGGAGCCCGGATTTAGATCTAGCTTTGTTTTTAAAAGTACGGCTGCGCAGTCAGTAATAAGTTGCGTACAACAAATAGTAAACCTGCTTTTCAAACTCAAGCGATGCCAGTCAAATAAACTCAGCTCAACTCAACTCAACATGCCAGTAATGATTATATAGAAAGGCCTAGATAAAAGTAAGTCTCTGTTACGTGGCTTTCCCTGTTATATTTTTTTGACAGGGTTAAGGGCAACATTTCACATATAGGGTGTCTCCATAAAAAGGTAGCAGACGACCATAAATATTAAAAATACTGGCACTCTCTTTTTGCAAGACTTATCTATAGATCCTGAAGGTGTGGTAAGTACTCTACACAAGGGTTTTTATCCCATCTCATTTGGACACCCCAGTCCAGAGATTCAGCTCATTAAATGCAATGACTTGAATTCCAAGTTGGGCTACTTGGTGTCTAATGAAAGGCATTCACATACCAAGAAGGTGCAGAAAGTGGCCCAAACATATTTTGACAGTCTTTCGTAGCTTTACCATAACTTTAAACAAACGGTCCAAATCACTCAGAACAAAAATCCTGCAAAGAACACTGTATCATCTCATGGTAACTCTGTTTTACCAACAACAAAAAAACATTAGGATTTAGCTTCCTAAGGAAAAAACCTGTTGTTTGACTGCTACATTTTTGTAAACATCCATGCAGCCGAGTATTGAAACCAATACAATAATTTAACCTATAATTAAAAGGGCTAGTATCACACTGCCCCTGTTTAACCGGCTCCTGACATTTAAAAGACAATCTCAGCTCCCCTTAAAGTATGCAGATGGATACTGCCATTCCGGTACAAACGGCACCCCAACAACCACCTCTGCTCCCCACCACAACCCGGCAACACCAAGGGCGGATCCAGAACACAATTTTTTGGGGGGCCCAAAAAAATTGTGTTCCCCCAAAAAGTGGGTAAAAAAAATTACGGCGTGGGGTTCGGGGCCCGCTTAAGGGCCCCGAAAAAACTTTGAATTCTAGATGCTCTGTGGTGTGATCTGAGACAATTTCTGACCACTTTAACCAATGTTTTTTTGAGGAAAAGATGGTGGTGTACTCATTGCCTGCCCTTATTGCGATGTCACATAAAAAAATAAAAAAAGTGGTTTCTTTTTTTTTGGGGGGGGGGGCCATGGCCCCCTTTGCCCCCCCCCCCCGGATCCGCCCTTGGGGAACACCGTGCAGTGACGGGACTGATTTCAAAGAAAAATCCAGACACTTACCTGTCCGTAATTCAGGAAGAATATTTGATCATGGGTGAGATTAATTCCTGGAAGCGTTGCCTCCTCTACACCTGTTTCTTCCACCCACCTTCGGTATGCCTGAATGACAAAGGAAACCAACAAAAAAAATGATCAGATCAAGTCAGGTCAAAAGTGACACATAGGGAGTTGTCACTAAGGAATGCCATTGAGAAAGTCACGTGATTTCTTGTCACATGAGACTGAATGACTAGCAGTTTACTGTTGATTGACTTGCGATGATTTCTACTTGCCTTCTTCTCTCTGCCGTCTACAATGACATACTGCGGTATTACGTACGTACCTTGTATGCTACCTTGAGGGCGCTGTTGTCGGCAATATTTTCCCCCAACGTTAGGTTCGGATTCACCTGCAATCCATCAGATAAACAAACCATCGCGTAATAGCAATATTATTATTACTATTTTTTATTAATTTCTGGTACTGAGACCATGGATTCCCCACAGGTGCCCTAGGTCGTAACAGAAACCCTGAAGACACCTGTAGAGCGAAGACAATGAGCAGATATTACAGTTTTGGAGGTGGGAGGAAAACACCAGAAGAATATTCTGGGGGAAACCCACGGAATCAGGTAGGGACTGACAACCCAATCCACCTATTGGCCTAGGCGGGATTCGAAGCATACTGAGAACTTATTGTAAGCACTTAATTTATTTTACCTTCCTGTTGACCTGTTTCACGACGAAGTTGGAATACTGTTCTACTAAACAGTTGGTTTCCCGCCTGAAACCATCCGCAGATTCCTCCGTCCACATCTCGTCCAAGTCTCCATTCTTGTCGAAACCTCGGCCTGGTAACGAAAGAGGCATTTTATTCGAATCGTTAAATCCATCCCCAATCCGGTTCGTCAGTGTGACGTCACTTTAGTTTATACCACGCTCACTACCCATTAATTAAGTAGCATTGAAACCATTGGAACTGCAAGTTAATACAGCTTATCCAATGGGCGCTAGTAATCAGTGGTGCGCTCACGTGCATGACTTTTTTTACTTACGAATCGGATAGCAGCCCGATAGATGAATAGCTCGATCCAATTAAGCCCCGCCTCGTGATATTCTGACCAATCACAGCCGCGATTAATATCGGACGTGTTTTCACACGCGCGTTGTACGCGCGCGCAGCCAGATAGTGCAGTGTGGCCATGGCGAAGCGCGTGCTGTTGCCCTCGCGCGAAGTGGGCGGGGCCTGATGGATGGACAGACTATAGTGTCACTTCTCTTCGCACTTCGAAACGGATGAGGGCAGCAGATACTCAATACGAAATTTGGCAGTGATTTCGTAATTCTGACCGAGCACGAAGTCAAAGGATTTCGTTGCAACGATTTTTTTTTAAATTTTGATTCGAGTTTAAGGACAAACTAACAAATGGGCATGCATGCGGTTTCGGAAAGTTTTTTTCTTACGAAATACCGCAAACCGTTATAAATCGTTTGTGCTTTAATCCTTATTATTACGAAATAATATGCACACAGTGTAATAAATTGGTATAATTTCAATAATTTTGATCGCAATAACTGGATCTAGAGAAATTATGGACAGAGCCACCTTACCCATGTCATCGAAGGCGTGCATAATTTCATGACCAATAACGACTCCTATTCCTCCGTAATTCATAGATCTGAAAGAATAAAACCTCACTTGTAATACTATCACATCATATCGAAATGTATAAGGATGTTACACCGCAGAGTGTGCACTTGGTAGTTTTTTCTCTTATGGTAAATTTACGTACAGTTGAGACATTGGTTCACAGGCTTGGAGAAAACAAGGCCAACCACGCACCAGCGTTCGAAAAAAATGAACACACAAAAACTGAAATTCTGACCTTCTTGTGCTGCATTTCTAAAACACAAAAAGGACATTGTACAGTATCCACTTTTGGTCGACGGACTTCCCGTATATTATTTCTTGTATTTTTTTGTCTTTAAGTTAAATATCCGCAGCTTCTATCTTTAAGATAAATATCCTTGGCATCTGTCTTTAAGATAAATCCCCCTGGCTTCCTCTCAGTATAATCATCCTGGACCAAAGCGGAGGAGTATGGACGGATACAAATAAATGCACATCACATGTACACATACAGCTTTAGCCAACAATGAGCAAGTACACTTTAATAAGTCCCGGGACAGATTTAACCGGAATCAGGGTTCTATGGGGTCGGACCCTTTTCCGGGTTAATTAGACAGTTTTTCGGGTCAAAGTGTCACTTTTCCGGGTCAAAATAATCCGGAAAATGAGTCGGAGTACTGGTATTTTGACCCGGAAAAGTATCATTTTGACCCGGAAAAGTGTCATTTTAACCTGCAAAATGACATTTTGACCCGGAACAATGTCAGGCCCCCAAAAAGCGGGGTTCCGGGTCAAAGCTGACCCGGGACTTTTAGAGTGTATAAACCGTTAGCAATTTCATCCATGTACGGCAACTATGGTAACGTCACTTTGTTGTCCGTAAAAAAAATTATGTAAAACTATGTAAACGAAATGTCTGTATTTAGACGGAGTTATAAGAGCTTGGCTTTAGAATTCCGGCAAAAGAATTGATTTTAACTTACTGGGGATTTCTGCGATTGTAGAAAGGGTGCTGCAAAAAGCCAGCCGGAAATGCTGAGAGAGAGAAAAAATGTATAGTCTTAAACAAAACACACTTCCAGAGGGTTACAACCCACGGGAGGGGGGGGGATTAAAAGTGGCTACAGGTAGAAAACATCATTCGAGAGATAAAAACAATTTACTGGTAGCATATTGAATTAAATGCCGTCATGCAAAGACTTACTGATTTGGTTAAGAGGATACTGGTATGCCGCGTTAGCCTGGTAAGGCTGGTACCGATTAGCCCACCTATAAGAAAAGATAGACGCGTTACTCCTTAACTTAGTTTACATCTATATCTTGAGCAATTCTCCGACGTCTTCAGCGCAGGTATCTTAACTAAGTTCTTATTCCTCGAACTTGCCGGAAATTGCTAGCCAATGGATAAAGAGTTCTTGCAAAGTGTGTGGTGTTAAAAGAGCTCTAAGCGGTTTGTACATCGAACCAGTCGGCTAATTCATTTCAGAACAGCTATCACATGCCTTTTTTATTACAGCATAGGCCTACCAAAAAGCAGAAATTCAATCAGCCGTTATATCGGCCCATCTGCTCGCGATCGCTGGTTCAGTGGCTCAGACGCCCTCACTCATAAGCGGAATGTCAGGGGTGCGAGTTCCACCAAAAGCAAGCCCTAACTTTTGTAATTAATGCATATAAATTATATCTGAACCCACATGTCTTTTTTTTTTAAATCAACCACATACCGGTATATGTTGACTGGCCGTCGAAATCTTCTCAGGGAAAATCTGACGTAGTTTTTAAGTGTCTCGAAGACGTTTTCAAAATGATGTTCTCGGTAGGTTACCATCTGCAGAGGACGGAAATGTGAGTTTTGTTATTCCCAACGTGAGCTACTCTCGCAAATCAATTTGAGTCAATTTGAGTCTCTTTTGATTAAATTTATATCATTGAATTGTGTCTTTACTGGGACTCAGCAAATGTCGAGTTAGGGAGAAATAAATTGAATAGGCCTATTTGTCCTATTGCAATAGGCGTAAATCTTTCAAAGAATAAATTACGCATAACACTGGGAAGTTGTGTTGAATTATTACAATGTTGCATTTATTGAACTTTACTAAGGGAATAAATGTGTGCTCTGGAGGTTTTTATCACTCTGTTTAAGACCACTTAGAGTCTGGGTGCTGATAATTACCCGAGTCGGAGGCGAGGGTAATTATCAGCACCCAGACTCAGGGGTCTACGTGTAGGGGTCTACATTTTATTGCGACACTGGAAAAGTGTTTAAGACCAGCTAGCCATGTCTTTATCATCCGTTTAAAACCGGCCACGTGACGGGCTCTCGACCAATAGGAATGGCTAAACTGTCTGAGGTATTTATGAATAACTTATTAAACCAATAGATATCACATTGTGTAACCTTTCAACCATTTTGTTTTTCAATGCATTTAATTGCTTGCTATAAGCGACCCAAGACAAAGGGCGGATTCAAAACACAACTGTCTGGGAAGGGGGGCAAATAAAATTTTGGTCCCCAAAATGTGTGTCGCAAAAAATTACGGCGTGGGGTATTTGTTGGATTCTAGATGCAATCTGTCGTGCGATCTGAGGCAATTTCTGACCACTTTAACAAATGTTGTTTAAGGAAAAGATGGTGGTGTTTTCATCGCCTGCCTTTATTGCGAAATCACTTAGTGTAAACAACCTAGTGTAAATATCTACGCGCGTATCAAAAGAGTGCAGCGTGATGTATGAGTGCGCAGGAGAAGTAGGCCAATCAAACTCAAAGGGATCGAGGCGTGCACAGCCAAGACGCGATATCAACCAGTAAGATATGAGAAGCAGGAGGCCTTTGCATGTTCATATATACAAGTTCGGGTCCCTAATCTAGAGGACTTTATAACATTTTTATCGCATGAGTTCGGATTTGTTGGTGCTAACGAATAATGTATTTACGAGAGTTTCCAACAGATCTGTGATTGGATACAAGTAGTCCTGCGTGATTACAATGAAGAACAGGGGAAATTATGTATAATTGTGGGAACGTAAAACTCAAAGAGAACATCGACCATGAACTTGAAATGGTGGCGCATCAAATCGTGTACACCGCTTAAAATGTAGTAAACGTTAGCCATACTATCAAATAATTGCCCAACTCACAATTATACAAACTTGGGCTGTTTGGGACTGATCATTTTTTTACTCACATCTTTGTATTCTTCTTGCAGCGCGGTGTAGTTAAATAATCCATCGTCGAACCCGACCTGCTCACGAATTGCATACAACTAAAAAAGAAAATTGCAAAACAAAACAAACATCTAGAAAACGTCCATGTCGTAAGCTTATGACCATTAAAGATATGTTCCGAGAATAACTCTTTTTAATCTGACTCATTATTTTTTGTGAATAAAATTTTCTTTTTTTTTCAAACGGGATCCGACAAATATCAGGGAGGCCAAACAACAAGACTTTTTCCCACCTTCTCGATAGCCTTGGCTTTGGTCGGTTCGTCCATCCACTTCGTTCCGTTCAGAGTGTCGAGGACCACTCCTCGGATCTGATGAATCATTTCCAGAGCCTGTCAAGGAACAAGTAAAGTGTCAAACACTGTTAAACTACTGGAATCTCTATAGGAAGTAGGTCATGTTTGCAAGGGCGTAAAACCCAGGAAATGGGGAGGATATATCCTCCACTTTTAGACCGTGGGGATTTGCCATTGGAACACTCCCTCCCCCCCCCCCCCCCTCAAAAAAAATTGTGTGGTGAAAACCAAAAATGCCCACTTTAAGGTTATTTTCTAACTTTCAAACAGCCCAAATGTATTTAATAGCAGTGAAAAACCGAAAACGTACAGCACAAAAACTTTAAATACACCGTCTGGATGTATTGTAACCGCAGCAGTTTGCATAAGATGTAAGATTGTATCACGAACAGCACCCCCTAGTGCCATGTGGTGTGCAGTCAATTTTAGGATTTTTGGTCATCCGCCGACTCGCTGACACGGATTTACGCCACTGCATGTAACATACAAAAAAAAATAATATGCCGAATCAGAACGCAAATTTAATGACGATCGTTCTTATGCACAAAACATTTTGCTGGTGGAAATTTGGTGGGATAAACAATCCATTGTATAATGCTTGAAAAATCAAAGTGGTTGTTTCAACCAAAGTTAAGATTGTATCATGAAGCGCTCAAGTACTCTTTTTTTTAAGCAACACAGCTTTGAATGTGCATTCTGTGTTTTAATGTCCACTACGACTCAGGTGGCAACGATTTGTTATCTGCTTACGGATCGGATGCACGAAGACTTGAAGACTGCAGATTGAGTCGTCGGTGTACATGATATGCTTAGGTTAACCCGAGTGATATTATGATGCACACATACGCACAGCTAAAATTCTTCCCAAGCAATTGTAAAAGGACAGCATCAATGCCGACCACAAGTTCGAGACCAACACAAGATAGCTTACCATCGCTTTACTCTGCTGGTCGAAGTACTTCTGGATAAACATGGCAGACATGGCGCTGCTCATGCTGCCGCTGGTCAGGTCAACGCAATGCTTCCACCGCGGCGCTTCCCCGTGTTCGCCTTGCACTTGATAGGAGAACTCCTCCCGGAGCTTGCGAGACTTCCTCCCAAGGAGGTCGATGCTGTCGTGCACTAGCCTCCACATCAGCAGGTTCGCTATTGTTCTAGACAGTAGATACAAACGCTGGAATGAGACTACACAACTACTAGCGTCATATCAAGGCTAGACAGATTGGAGTAAAACTTGGAAGAAGTTGGCAACTATTCCTTGTAAAGTGACCCGCCCTTGAGAGAGTACGTTTCTGAAAACCAAAGATATTAACTGATTGTCGACAACAAATGATGACGAAACGTCGTATTAATACATCTTGTTCTTAATATTACTGGAGATGGTACCTTAAGGAGACATTCCCATAGGGTGTTCACTCAATTTTTCCAACTTTAATGACCTCCAACCGCCATGATTTTCCCTTATCCTACCGGCCACAAATGTTGTTATTTTAATGTTTTGGACCACAAGCAATCGATTCAGCCTATTTGCGAAGGTACAATATTGCCTCTAAATAGGAATTGTGACATTAGGGAGACATTGAAATGTCTCCCTAATGTCCGGTGTCTCTCAAGGGATTAAGGCTAGAACAAATGTCTCATAAAGGGTACATTTACAGGAATTCTCAGAACCGCACTTTTCTTCAAGAGTTATTGGACACTTCGCACGGCGTATCCGAGAACACCGAATATCCGAATACTCCGAATAATCGGATATCGAAATTCGAATACAAACCTGGTTGGTGTCTCCTGTATAACCGTTCCTAGCCTCTTCAGATATTCCAGGCCATAGGTGCCTAACAGCTCCGTCTCGTTAAAATTTGGAGTCACGATAGCGCCGAAATATCTGGACCAGTTGAACTACAATGTCATGATAAAAAAATAAACAAGCTCTTGATTTTAAGAACGAGATATGGTAACCATGACAGCACAGTAACGACAGCAACAAGAAATTGAGATAGGCCAGGCTTCTTTGCAGATGTGAAACCGGGTGCGTTCTTAGATTTCGACATCAACATCCCTATCACCCTGGTAATATTGTACACCGCCCCAATAAGTTTTGTTATTTAAACAATCTCACAAGGACACTTACCTGTGGAATCCATTTTTGTAAGTCTACGATCGTCAACTTTTCGTAACGTTTCAACGCCTCTTTTTTAGGACCTCTTGGAATTTGAATCTGCAAATAAATTAGGGCCATCAAAAATAAAAATCTTTAAGACAAGAGTAAAGCCTGCAAGTTTATACTCAAGGATATATATATTTATATATATATATGTTTTTTATCCCATATGATAAAAATAAATGTTCGTTTTATAAAACCCTAACATTTCGGCACGCCTCACGTTTATCAGCTTCGACTCAAGGTGGAGCATGTCGAGCACTTGGTGGTGCACCTCATCTTCACTGGCGAGGCTCAATTCCAAGGCGACGGCCTCCATGTATTCTCGGTACGCAACCACATTCTGTGAATAGTCATAAACGATAAACTCGGATAAGCGATTGTTCGAATCACTGCAATGACTAGTTGATGTTCAATGGTTGGGCCGTGTCCGAAGAAAACTGTACACGTGTCTATACGGTAGTGGCTGCAGCAACTTACCATATGCTCTTTTTTTCCTCGAATAAGAAACTAGTAGGTTGTGAGTTCGAGTCCAGCCTGTGGTTACGGTGCGCTTGCCCTTGTGCAAGGCACTTTGTAACTCATTGCTTCTCCCCACCCAGGAGTAAATGGGTACTTGTGAGAGCAGTGATACCTAAAGTGGTTGAGCCGCTTTGCACCGAAATGGCAGTATCCAGCTATAAACTCCCCAGGGAGCCGAGGTGGTCTTTAGAATTTTCATTCAATGAGCAGGATAATATTAATAATGTAGAGCCTTCAGCACAATTACAGGTGGATACGTGAGCTTTATATACACATGATTATACACATTTATTATAAAATATGATGGAAACCTAATAAATAATGAACGCTCGAAGAATGAGAATGTTCCATGTTCCATTCCATGCACTACGCACACTGCTGCATTGTGTATGTCTTTAAGGGTTTTAACAAGTTTAAGGAAACAGCTTACCTTGTGTGAAAAGTTTGCCACCCTGAAGTCCTCTCGGCCCAGTAGTGTCTGCGGTTGATCAATCTGAAGGGAAAACAGTTGAGGTTCCATAGAAACTGTTAATGGCAGGAGGGTTGAAAAACGCGTTCTGCTTTTTGTAAACCAACCTTTTTTCGTAACTTGCATGCCCCACCATGTCGTCCATCGGCACCACGAACTGACACTTAGTTGGACGTGAGTGCGCTGCACGTGCGCGTATTTTACAGAACCGTGATATTAATGTTGGGTTTAATGAATGGGTGTCCTCCACAGTTCGGCACTTCTAGAGCGCACCCCGTAAATTTTTGCAAAAATGTGCAAAAGTTACACTCGGGGCCTTCCCGCATGTACTTACAATATATATATGCATGTCGTTGTTTTGTGGATCGATGCTGATGTAGTTCATGAAGATGTAGTTCTGCCCGCTCTCCACGAACACTTTGGCCAGCGTGTCTTCCAAATTCCAGGTCGACTCGTCGTAGGATGAGTCGTTCATCAGCGGCCAGCCGCCAAACTTACTGACCACGGTCCGAAGGGGCTCCAAACCCCTGTCGTTGAGAGCTCCTAAAAGACATTATGATTGCATTTTATTTAATGCAATCCTTGAAAGTGCAGGTTCATATTCTAGTTTCGATATTCATTTTGCCATTTTCGAGGGCTATTTTAGTGCCGTTTTGGTTTTTATGTTAATGCAAATCTCCATATTCATGAGCAAAACTGTGATGTTATATCAATAACAGAAGCCTGAATGTTACAGCCATATCTGCAAGAAAAGTTGTCGGAAATTCCGATACTCTGCTTTTGTAGATTTTCTTTTCTTTTGTGATTCGTTGTATTGTCATCGTCAGTCATGGCAGGAAGCCAATTATGATGAGCAAATTTGCTCACAAATCAACAACTGTTTGGTTTAACAATTGTAACAGAGAACACATCAAGTGAACAGTGTCTTCCTAAAATCCCTGCTACCTTCCAGCACTCAAGGCCCGCACTGAACAATTGCCTGGCTTAATTTTACCAAAGAAAGGGTGAAAACTGGAACTACCCAAACTTGGTTTGTTCTATAACCAATTGTTTGGGTTAGAATTTCTGCTAAATTCAACCAAAACTTGTGTTCATTTCAAGACCAAATTTAATTTGGTCTTGTATGACTACAACTTTCGGTTGAATTAAACATAAATTCCAACCCAAACAATTGGTTATAGAACAACCCAAGTTTGGATAGTTCCAGTTTTCACCCTTTCTTTTGTAAAATTAATCCAGGCAATTTTTCTGTGCGTCAGCAAATGGTATCTCATACTCAAATTGGTTTGTCAACGCCCTCGTTGATGATTTACCTCCCCCGCCCCCACCAAAAACCCAGTTGTTCTACTTTTTCAAAGGAATTTGAAAAACTTACTACTTCGACTTAATAAGTGGAAACCCGTAACTGAATTGTGGTTTACTTGCGATGGATATCCTGGTACACACCCACCCCTTGTCGGAACCACGTCTATTTCTCCGCCTATCAGCAGCTGCTTTCCCCCTTACCTTCGTCCATGCAAGCCTGGTATAAATATTTGGCCTTCACTATAGCCTCGGGTTCATCCTCGGCGACTTCATTTTCGACCAAACCTGAAAAAAACCCAGAAGAATCGGGAACACTAAAATTGCCATTCTATCAGAGATAATGCAAACGCCTTTTCTGTCTTATAAAACAAAACCCAGAATTTTGTGTGTTTGTTTCCCACTAAACATGGGTCAGGTACCTGAGAAAGGTGGGCACGTCTGAGATTTGGAGGCGCTGTTCCTTATGAAGAATTAGTTTGGTATTTATTTATTTATTTATCATATTTCTTTCTGGTAATGAAACCAACGATTCCTAAAAAATCCCCTTGTCACTGTAGCTCGAAAGCCTGAGGAAACCTGCTCAGAGGTGACAATGAGAAGAAATAACAGTTTTAGGAGGTGGGAGGAAAACCCCAGAAGAATATTCTGGGGGAAACCCACGGAATCAGGTAGGGACTGACAAACCCAATCCACATGTGGTCCGGGCAGGAATAGAAGTAACCACTGCGCCAACCCGACTCTTCTATAAAATAATGAATAATGGTGTTTCCGCAAACCTTTCATTATTTAGTATCTCCACCATGCTAAGCCTCTAATCTTACTTATATTCTATAAAACGTTTAGACGGTCTATGGCCATTAACAATATTGTAGATTCTTTTTAAGCTTTCTCCTCTCTCCTCGCCACCCCCACTTCCCCCCCCCCCTTTTTCGGGGGGGGGGGGTAGCTTGTTTAGGTTAGGATTGGAGTGAGATGGTCTGGTTCATAAGGAATAATTCCCCGTAAAACCACTTCTCGTCTAGTCTCGCCATACATGCCTCAATTAATGATAAGCCAAGCTCAAAAGCAAGTTTACCTCTGCAGTTCAATTCCACCCGATGCTTGAGCTCAGTGATGACGGTGAGCTTGCTGGTCTCGTCCGGGATGACTCGACTTTTCAGCCAGCCGCCACATGAGTACTCGTAGAAATCCGTGCATGGATCGACAGCGGAGTTCATGTTGAGAAGCAAGCCAGCGGCTGAAAGGGAAGACCAAATCAAATGAAGAAAGTAACGACCCAAGCCACTACAACAAACTCTGAATGCTCATATAAGAACTGTGTTTCACGATACTCTGGCCGAGATTTCTCGGCTTTTCAAAATTGGTATAAGCTCGATCCTGCATGGTTGCATCTCGGTTATCACTAGCGCGCACATGCACGCATTGTATTAGAAGCAGACACGTTGATGTTTTACCTGAGCACCAACCGCTAATGATTATACCAGCTTTAGTCAACGGATCAACTAACTGCTACACATGATATATGTGATTGTCTACCATGTAGTCAGACTGTCTTACTAATTTATTTCCCTGAAATAAATTCAATATCAGTTACAAGCAGTTGCAAGGGTATCCGAATAATGAACCTTACTCAAGATTTTACCCATAGACCTTTTTATGGCGTCTCTCCATTAAACGTGCATGTTAAATGCTTATAAATTTTTGCAAACACGCTTTTTATTATGTGTTCAAAAGTTAAACACTTCAGTTGTACAGCGTAATCTATGAGTAAAGATCATATGCCCTCTAATTCTTCGGTGTTAGAGCATTTTGTTGGCCATGAACTTTAAGGTTTGTTAAAATGAAAAGTGGAACATGTGCACATGGCTGTGAGCTTGTATTTCTGTCAAAATTAAATTAAATTTTGCAATGGAGCGTAGGCATCGTTTTTTCAAAATGGCGATGGGTTTCAAGACTATTTTTAGGGGTGGTCATCATACCCCCAAAAAACTTAACAGAAAATGAAAGATGATGAAATCAGCTTAAATTTGATGCGTGTCTTGAACGCCTTAGAGAGTTCAGAGTATTTTTAAATAATTTTGGGAAGTGCGCGTAATTACCACGTAGGTCTATGGCCATCTACTGGTCTTGAACCCTATATGCAGTGCGCTGATTTTCAGTGATTTTGCTAGAGCGCCCTCTTTGACTAGAATATCAAAGTAGGCTTCAAAATTAAATGTATATGCGCAACAAAGTAATCCAATTCAAGACGTCATCTATAGTATATTATCATGGAGTACTCAATAAAAAAACATGCTTAACGTATTTTACCCCGAGTGTGTACCACTGAGTCGCGCAGGGATACTTATTATACTAAAGTATTCCTTACCTGCTTCGACGCATTCGTCCGTCAGACACATTTCTTGCTCAGAGCATTGTGTGGATTTCGCCGGTGGGTAGGCAACTTCTGAAACTAACAAGAAAATTATTATCAATAAACCTCATTTTAGTTTCTTCCTATGGCAGTTCATAAGAGCCTTCCGATCAACAATTTGAAATTAGGCTTTTCTCTCTCTCAATATAACATCGGCCATTTTTTCTCCCCAATCTACGTCTCTTTTCCCCTTTAAAACGTGGCAGATACGATCACTAAAGTTATTGGTAAATATGTGATCTTTAGAAATTTCGATTTTCTTCTCCTCTAACAAAATTTAACGGAATATAATGTCCTTTAACAAATACATTTACGTGTTTTTTTTGCAGGCCTTTGTACAGTTTTAAAAATTAGATTTATGATGGCGCGCTCTAGTTCAGATATTGCGCACACTATTCAGAACTATTAAAGAGCGTCCCGCTATTCAAAAGTTGAAATTTATTAATAAATTATTGATTACTAGTCTTCTCATGGGCTGATTTTTTTCGTGCGATGTCTCATTGAAGAGCTCATAACTAATGCTATGCATGAAAATTATCAATTCAATTTGAAAATCTATTTTTTGTTCAAGGTGCCACCCCCCATAAAACACGTACATGTATAAACCAACTTTAAGATATTCAATTTGGACAATTCCTTAAAGCAATTGTGTTTTAGTATTAAGGGTCACTCGGTTAAACAAGAATGGTATTGTGGATATGGAAATCAAAATAATTGATATTATGGATTGGAACACATTCCTTAAAGTTCTTACATGACAAAGCTACTTATAATTATGTTCGAATTACATTTGCCTCGGGAATTAGAAATTAAATTATAACTTCTCTCTCTGAAAATGCATTCGTTCTAATAACACAGAATCTTCACAGAACCGAGCAATTCCAATAAAAACACTCCGAAAGTGACAGGGGCCTGGTAAGCGAAGACAGTAACCATTGCCCTACAGCACTCGTGTGTTGTGCCTAAAGCAACATCTATCACGTATTATTGAAAACCAAACATGTCAGCTCGACAGCATTCCGATGGGTGCTAGTATTATAAGCGCGGCGATGATCGTTTCTAATTTTTTTTTTTTTTCATTGCTCCATATTCTGTCAGTTGAAGTGCAAACTCCTCAACACAGGCGCTGTGATAAATGGGAGAGAAATAGTGCCGGGAACGACGAGCGAGAATAGTATGATGAATTTGTGTCATCTACAAAAATAGTGCGGCAATTGGCCCACCGCCTTAAAGGGGCTGTCGCGTTGCAGCAGGCTGGGACCATCATAAATCTTGCGAGTGCGAGAGACGTGTGCCTCGGGAAACAGTTTAGGGCACACATTGGGTCAATGTGCATCTCACCTCAAAATGTCGAAATGCAGAAATGTGCGAAATGGTGCGATAACCATGCAGCAGTATACGGTTTTCCGAACCGCAAGTTGTTTGAGAGGTCTTGATGTGACTCTTTTCTAGACGGTTGAATTTGAATGAAGTCTATGTGATAATTTTAGAAAACTGGCTCGTGTTTTTCATCAAGTTATACAGCCATGTTACCTCTTAAATAGAGCTTAGAATTGGACTTAGCGTTGGCGGGAATGATATATTTGCAATACAAAATGACGAAGCAATAATGCACAGGTGATCGCCTTTCGTGCTCACAGTAATCGTGTCTGCTACAGTTAGCGAAGTAACTTAGCTTTGTATGAGCAATGAATCCGGAAAACATGAGAAGAGGAATGGGCCAAGTTCCAATTTTATGACAAACCGGGATGGTAACACGTACACGGGCACGGCTTTAACCCAGCCTTACAGGCCTAAATCCGGAGGTATTTCAAACAAGAAAATGGAGACACTCAAACTCGACAAGACTGAAACAACAAACCACGACTTAGCCAGCATAAAAGGGGGATTCAATTTCAGACTCAACATCAGTGCATGATCGAGTTCCAGCATGACTCCAGGGCGATCGACCCAGAATCCTGATTACCGTGACCCGGGCCATGGTTCCCCGCCGGTTGCCTCACCTGGACACCCACCTCGACTGCATGCCTTCCCCTTCAAAACTAAAAAGTCCAACTAGAGATGGAGAAATGAGACATAAATGGGTCAAGTTAAACCACGAGTCCTGCTGATTCCTCGCAAGTTGTGAGTAAATTCTATCCTTTCGAGTGCCCTCTAAAAAAAGAACAGGGTGCAAGTCCCACGCTAGACATGGCAAAGTAGAGCCTGGGTATTTTGCCTTCCGCCCCGAATGCTCACCGTGGGTCCACGCTGGGGAACGACATAACTATTCCTGGTATTTTGGGCTCGCCCCGATAGACAATCGCATTTTTAGTTGTTCTTAAAAGGCGGGTTCAGTGTCCGAAATAAAATCATTTCAGGGCAATGTTTGACTGTAATTTCGAAATGGAACTGTTTTCTCAAAGCAAGTTGAGTTCAATTATCTTTGACATCGCGTTGTAGAGGGTTGATATCTCGACTTTAGGACAATGGGGGTCCACGATTGAAGGTGTTTACACGCCTGCTTTAATTAAACTTGCTTACTCTTTTAAGTTGGCCTGTGCACAAAAGAGGTCCACAGGATGAAGGAAGCATGAACGTTTTGTGGACTTTCACTTTTCCACACTAGGTCCCCCCACCTCTGGAAAACAGGTTTAGAGGCATTTTGGGCTGTCGACAAATGTAGAGGACACTCAAGGAAATCATGATAGGAAATTTGGGTTGAAAGAGTTATTACAGTAGGAATAAAATGAGTTTTCTCTCCGGTTTTTCTTAACTACGCAAATACAAAGGAATTTCCACACTGATTAGGTATGTTAGGTACACATAGTGTACTTGTACACACAGTACTTTAGACACATAATGTTTCCCACACGTCCGCAAACTCTGATGCACTGCTGGAACATTATGCAACTGGAATCACGACTAGCACCAAAACAGCTCGATTTTTAACCCCCGAAATTCGTTCTCGCAAGAATAACACAAAACGGCTAACTTTTAAAGGATGGTGGTGTGGACGTTGACATACTACTTTTAAATTCTCTTTCCAATTGATATCATTTTGTTTTAAATGCGTTTGGTATAGCACAATCGGGAGGATTCCAGTCCCTTTAATTGTTCAAAGGCTGCTTTCCTTGTTAATTCGGTTGAAACAGCCATGTGGTTGCGAAGGGCGATTTCTAAAGGTTACGTAACACTTTATGAACTACATGTACACATGCAGACATGTTCACACAGGCGGGCGAAATCTTTGAAAATTAATTTCTCCCGTTTGGAAGACCGTATCTTCATGCAACTTTATAGCCAGTTTCGTTCCCTTATAATGATCCAATTATGTGCTAAAAATCGTTGTGATATGTTCATTACTTTTCGTTGAAATTGGAAAAATGGGCCTGCGTATAGGTGCAGTTTTGAAAGTTGTAACGCTGGCGTTTGCAATATCTGTCAATCTTTTCAAGCCTCACATATCCATAGTGTACAGTAAAAAAATTGCATAAACGTTCCTTCACGAGTTACTAATTGATTAATCACCCTTCTTGCCGGCTTCCATTGTTCGATATCGAGACCCGCGCCAAAACACGCGGAGTGACACTATAATGAATATGCTAATCTACCATACGCTATTGTTTTGCTTGGCCAAAATCGGTCAACCATAGCGCCTAAGGCGCTTTGCTGAATAATGCACTTGAATTGGGTCTGCATAAAATCCTCCTCGAAATGTTCCATGGAGATAGTTCAAGGTGTTACACTAGCGTTTGCAGCAACAGATAAAGCTAAAATTCGGAATATACTTAGATGATATAAGTGTCTAACTACTCGTGAAATAGAAACTTGAGTAGATTCCTAGAAATTGATATACATAGATTTGGGGAAGGTTTCGAACGATTTCTTCCAAACTTGAAGGTCAGCTATACCAGTAACCAGTATTGACGTTTCGGCATCGATAACGGCGATTTTTTTTTTCGCTGACATGAAGTTTAGAATTACTTCTTCCGTTATAATTTAACATGTCAATCATACTGAGCATATTTTCTGAGAAACACAACGTCCAATAGGCCATTTTTTTTGTGGTGCATGAATTTTACTGTTAGTATGGCGTCAAAAAACGTAATCGGATTAGCTTTCCTCAATAACGGCAGACGCTTTTCCTTAGCAACCATATGCCTGCTATTTGGTGGGTACGCGTACCGATAAAATATCCTCAAACACTGACGGAGACCCCCCCCCCCCAAAAAAAAAGAGAACACAGACACCAACTTATCGACCGTAGATCGGCTCATATCACGGTCCAGGGATGAGAACAAGTACCCCTCGGTCTGGAGGGTCCTCGAGCCATGATGAGAGGTCCGAAGGAGATCTGAGTGAACAGTGAAATCAAGACGATTGCCAGGTATGCTTGTCTGGACTGTGAATCAAGACGATTGCCAGGTCTGGACTGTGTATTGAATCGTTAATTATGCTAAAGAGAAAAAGCTGATTTTCGTTTGTGTGTTGGTTTATAACAAATCTTTTTATGCGAGAAATAAACTAATTGTGACCAAAGCAAATCATGAGAAAACAAGTCAGGTGTGTTTACAAACACCAATGCCCCGCAACCGTGACTGTTTCAATGACATAACACCACTCTAACATCAACTTACATGTACCTTGGTCAAATGGAACGTTCATTGACAGCATTAGTGTCTTCTGTAGGTTTTATATGAATTAATCCCTAATCCCTATGATCTCAGAATAAATACAAGATTTCTATTGTTTTAGCCACTGTGACCTTGACCCTTGACCTTTTGACCCCCAATGCGATAGGCTTCTTAGGATTGCCAAGGACAATCCACAAACCAAATTTGAAATTCATATGTAAAGTATTTCTCAAGTTATCGCGCTGACAAAATTTCTATTGTTTCAGCCACTGTGACCTTGACCCTTGACCTTTTGGCCCCAAATGCAAAAGGCTTCTTAGAATTGCCAAGGACAATCCACAAACCAAATTTAAAGTTCATATGTAAAGTATTTCTCAAGTTATCGCGCTGACAAAATTTCTATTGTTTCAGCCACTGTGACCT